CAATCCCAATGCACTGGATAGCTGGCCAATCAGAGCACACCTCGCTTTTCAGACCGATGAGCTTTTTAAAAATCGACACGTTTCAGAAAGGCGGGGCATAGAGGAGCAACAATAATGTACATTATGTGGAAAATAATGTGTTTTTTTAACCTTAAACCGCATAAACACATTCCATTACACCAAATACACAACATAATGTTTTTTTAGCAACCTCATATGACCCCTTTAAAGCATTACTGCACGTTAGGGCTGGGTGATATGACAACACATATCGTGGCAATGATATAAAGTGTGAATCGATTTAAATTTCTCTAAAACTTTTACATAGACCTATCGGTCTAAGCAAAAATATCCATCCAGCTTTTAGTGTGCAGGAATTATTGGAACGTTGGAGTGGGAAAAAGAAGCATGGGCGAATGAGTAAACTGTGATGTGTTTGGTGCAATTGCACTTATTATAAGTGCCGTAAGCTGCGAAAGGAAATTCTAATTTACACTCGCACGTGGGCAAGCAGTTTTTTGTGCACACGCTTACGTGTGTGAATGGTGGTCGAGATTTTGAAGCCCAATAAAGTGCATCCATCCATCATAAAAGTGATCCACACAGCTCCGGAGGGTTAATAAAGGCCTTCTAAAGCGAATAGATGCGTTTGTGTAAGAAAAATATCCACATTTAAAACTTTATAAACCTCAATCTCTAGCTTCCGCTAACTGTTGTATGCATGTTCACAGGGATGGGGTAGAACGTAGGTGCAATGTAAGCTCCATGAGAATATGCTAGTCTCACGAGAACCAAGTTTTGTTTACAGCAAAGGAAAACCAGTCTCCTCTTGGCTTATATAGAAATCCTCTGACATTTTTCTTTACAAATCCTCATTTTGTACTTGTTTTGCTCTCTCTCCTTCCACGTTTGTCACTTCTCACGGGAGCTTACGTTACGCCTACATCATCAGCTAGAACGCCTCTCTCTCGTAAACGCGTGTTTGACAGTTAGTGGAACACAAACAATTTGTTTCAGAAGGACTTTATTAACCCCCGGAGCTGTGTGGAGAACTTTTTATGATGGATTGATGCACTTTTTGGGGCTTCAAAATCTCAACCCCCATTCGCTGCCATTATAAAGCTTGGAAGAGCCAGGACATTTTTTAATAAAACTCCGACTGTATTCGTCTAAAAGAAGAAAGTCATATACACCTAGGATGGCTTGAGGGTAAGTAAATCATGGGGTAATTTTCATTTTTGGGTGAACTGTCAGGCCCTTTCACATGGGACACAGCTAGATGCCGCTTTCTCTTGTAGTGGAAGCGTTTTGTGCATTTGAAGCCTTGTTTATACTTTCGCCTGGCTCTACACTGCGAACCTGCTGACTGTGTGCGCTCCTCACTAAACTAACGAGGCGTTTATACTTGATGTGCTCACCGTTGTATAATTCTGTAAAACAACAGGGGGCGACTCGGAGTAATTGTTCTCCAAACCCTCAGAAAGCAGCAGTGAGAGGAAGTAATTTGCTGAGTAGTTTGAGAAGTTTGTGACTAAATGGATTTATTTACATATAAACTTATTAGGTTGTGTGTCATTTTGGAGGACACATGTGAAAATGTTTTTGAGTGCACTTATTAAACCTACACAAAATAATTCAAAGAATAGTGTAAAATGTTCCCAAAATGCCCTCATCTACTGAGGCCTTAGTGTAGTGGCAGCGACCCGCTCATCAGCCAGTGGACCACACGTCTACATACCGGCCCCTCTTTACTGCTTCTTCCATTTCAGTAATGGAAACTGCAGCCCACTGACAGAGGAAGTGAATCTGGGCCTGTGATCCACAATAACCACCATCAGCTCCTTCCAAATACATATAAGAGCAGCAATGAAAACACTCCAGCCTGTAACCCTTTGATAAATGGGAGGAAATCCTGGACATGTCGAGCGTATTAGAGGAGTACTTGAGGTTTCTGTTAAATTTGAATCGCTCTGAGCCGGAGAAATGCAATGCTATTTAATAGAGATGACCAAAGCCATATGGAAGCGATCATTAGCCAGAGGCAATTTGAAAGAAAAACGGCAGTGCTAATGAGGGTCGTCCTGATATCATTACGATTGCTTGTATACAACAGAGTGTGTTCCACTTTTGCGAATCACACAATAGTCTGCATTTCTGTTCATCCCTACTCAAATTTTAGGCATAACAAATAGCAGGTGTACGCTCATGTGAAAGCACATTGTTCTTGTGCAGTTGGCCAGCTGCTAATACTTACCACTTACAAGCTTTTTTATCCCAGTACCATTTGCACTGTCAACTAGTGTGAACGTAATGGCTGTATAATCGCTCAAACGTCAGTATTTAGCATGAAGACAAATAATCTCCTTACCTCTGTCTGCTTTGTCTTGTTTTCTATGCACTTTTTAAACAAAGTTTCACTAAGTTAGTATTGCAGTGATGATGTAACGACATTATACAACCTGTAATCCAACAGGTCTCGTCTTTAGACCTGTCAAATATTGCCGAAAATACCTGGGGCCGTGCTGTTAGCTAGAGATATGCAGTTATATTTACCATAGCCAATCAGAGAGAAGCAATAAAGCATCGTTATTTATTGGCATGGCCTCTCCTGTTCCACGCATCTTACTGGAAGTGGATTTGAGGGGGTTTGTTTCCTGTTTATCTGCCTGCACCCTGCTGCTATCGGTCAGGTTCAGGAGATGCCTCCATGGTGAACTTGCCATCTTTTTTTCTGCCCATTATATCACGGTATTAATCATTAGCTCTTTGCCCCCTATCAGCTGGCTGCACAGGAATGGATGACACGTTGAATTACTCCAAAGACATGGTCTGTGTTGTGTAGCCGAGGCGCTGTTAAGGAGAGTGTATGACATGCTAGTCTATCCATTAAGAGCATATTTTTAGGGAAATTCTCAAAAATCTGAAATGTCGATTGAACGCTTGTTCACACTTCATGTGTATTTCCTGTCAGAGTTCACAGATCTGTTTTAATGAGCAGAATGGTAAGAACAGGTTTAAAAAAGAGAGAGGGTTTAAGAGAGAGAGAGAGAGAGAGAGAGAGAGAGAGAGAGAAACAGAAGCAAACTTTCCAAGGCAGGTTTGTGATCAAGCTCTGGAAGATCTCACATTTGCATGCATGGTTTCTCTGCTGGGTTTTTTGATGGGCTTAAAGTGGACAGGTCTTCCCTCTCATGCCCTCTCTCACCCCTGCTTCTCAAGAGAGATGCCAGACTAGTAACTCATTATTTCTAGCCCCATTGTGATTATGTCCAGAGAACATTTGGACCCTGAACACCCTGACATCATATGTACCCACCCAGTGTCTGACATATGGGCTACTTATATAATTTTTTTCTGTCCCAAATGTATTTTGTGTTATGCATACCAAGGTATAAAACTATTAATTAACTTTCAGTTAAACATTGGTGGTTGTAGATGTCCAAAACAGATTCTCCATAGTTATCTAAAAGGCATAGTTCACCCAAAAATTAGAAATCTGAAAATGAGATTTTTTATAAAAAATTTTTTTTTATTAAAGTTCAACATTGACTTTATGAATTTCATTAAAGAGCCCCTATTATGTGATTTTTAAGCGTTATGCATACCAAGGTATAAAACTATTAATTAACTTTCAGTTAAACATTGGTGGTTGTAGATGTCCAAAACAGATTCTCTATAGTTATCTAAAAGGCATAGTTCACCCAAAAATTAGAAATCTGAAAATGAGATTTTTTATAAAAAAAATTTTTTTTATTAAAGTTCAACATTGACTTTATGAATTTCATTAAAGAGCCCCTATTATGTGATTTTTAAGGTTCCTAATATTGTTTTGGGTGTCTCCTACAATAGGTTTACATGCATGCAAAGTAAACAAAGGCTTTTGTTTTCTCAAAATATGCATTTAATATCACCTCATTTTCCAACGATTCTCAAATGATTTGTTCGAAGCAGTTCTAAGATTCAGTCTCTCTAAACCCCTCCTTTCTGTGAGCCTACTCTGCTCTGATTGGTCAGATGGTCCAGTCTGTTGTGATTTGTCTGCCGCGTACAGCGCATGTCAGAAACGATATGGCCACTGCCATAGTTCCGTATTTTGAATGCTCGATAGAAAATATAAACATCATACTTACAGGTTGTGATTCAGTGGAGCCAGCAAGTTCACATAAACTAGGTACTGAGTCATCTTTCAAGAGCAAGAATTTTGTGAATTCCGTGATTAAAGAAGCAGTCGTCAGTAAAATTATGGGAACACAAAGAAAGATTGGGGTTGTACTGCTGTGGTACAGTGGAAAAAAAAAATTATTATAATCACTGATTCTTTGCAGCCTCATCTTTTTGAAGTGAAAATAAAACAGATGTACTTTCATGGTAGGGGTGTGCGATATCACGATTTTTGATCGTTGACGATTAAAATGTCTCCAACGAAATATTATCGTTCTACAGCGCACATTCTATCAGTTGCACTTCTGGCACCTCAGTCTCAATATACTGTACAACGTGACATACATTCACGTCAAATGTTAAACCAATGGTAGAGTTACACTCATGGGACACTGCACTTCACAATCACAAAAGTACATTACTTTCATGTTCTTTAAAGCCTTGACGGTTAAATATTTATTTTGTGTGCTGTTCTGACAAGCTCTGGAGCTGAAATCACTCTGAGCTTCACGTGTGTTTGAGTTTGTGTAGTAGACAAAACTATGCAATTCATTTAAACAGAGACACGCAGAACATGCAGACCTATAAGAGACATGCTTGGACTGGCTGTTGTCGTGTTTATTAACTGCTTTAAAAGTCTATACATCTATGCTCTGGGTGAAACTCGCGTAATAGTTTGAGATGTGACATCCATCTCTCCATTCTTAAGTTGCCAGGTATCGGCTATAATACACATTACAAAAAGGATCTCATTTTTATTTGTCTATAGATACACTTTAGCTGGCCACGGTACATTATAATAGTAGCCCAAAAAAACGTAATGCTGAACACAAAAGAAGATTGAGGAATGTGGGTAACCAACAGTTGCTGATCCCCATTGACTTTGATAGAAGGAAAAAAAAATACTATGGAAGTCACTGGAACCAGCAACTGTTTGGTTACCCAAATTCTTCAAAATAACTTCTGTTCAACAGAAGAAATAAACTAATTCAGGTTTAAAACAACTTGAGAGTGATGTAACGAATCAGCTCATGGGAAATATGAATAATTAATCATAACTAGTTATAATTAATTATAAATATTTTAGATCCGCTGTAGATATTTAGCTGACCTCTCAGGGTCAACTATCTTGTCAAGTCTAAGAACGTTAATTTCCTGGTTAAGGGAAATAACTTCCTTTGCATTTTTCTCACATCCTCTCAGAATTCCAACAAACCACCGACTCTGGGAGGGTCTCTGGTGTGGGCCTTTAAGGTCGGAGAAGATCCCCGCCTCTCAAGATGGGCTTGTCCAATAAGAAAGGCCGGTATCCCAAGTGGGAGTTTTGAGATACTGGGGAGTTTTTATGACCCTTTGTCTCTAAGCATGGTAATTTGCAAATGGAACTTGAATCAAAATTACTAAAGATTCTTAGAACACTAATATGTTGCATAGGTATAAACATACAATATACACTCTCAATTAGATCATCCGAATACGAATTAATAGAGACCAAACATGTTATATGTAAGGTTACATGAATGAGTGGTTCTATCATAAGCATACATAAACTAGTCTACAATACAACAGATAATATACAAGACAGCAATAATATACACAATGACCTGAAGGATCATGTGTGTTCATTCAAAGAAAGGTCTTCCTATGAATTAATTAGTAGAAAAGTCAATTTCTACTGTGCATTTGCCTCTTGCTGTGGAACATGCAGTGATTTTCCCTGCTCACATTCCATGAGGTCGTAAATGTATCTGGTGTCAGGGTTGCCATGGTTTGGTGTCGTTGCAGACATCCTGGCATCCAGTTTATTGGGTGAGGGGACTGTGACGATTTGTTAATCTAATGAAGAACTGATTTGTTAAATCAAATGAAAAATTGAGTGTTTGATTGGTCCAGACGCTACAGCGAGTAAATAATGACAGCATTTTCATTTGGGGGCGAACTATTCCTTTAATATTAATAAAACAACAAAACACAAAGAGAAAAATCACTGCTCTTGACTGAAGAACTTTAATACAGTTGCTTTAATAAGAATCAATGTATAATTTATAGAGTGCAGTGTTGATATTCTTACAGTGTTGTTTTATACTTACATTTGTTTATTCAATTTATTGAATGCTACTGCTGAATACACCTACTGGAAAAATAAAGCACAGTTTGTTTTATTTGTATAGTACACTCTTAAAAATAAAGGTGCTTCAAAAGGTTCTTCACAGCGATGCCATAGTAGAACCATTTTTGGTTCCACAAAGAACCATTCAGTCAAAGGTTCTTTAAAGAACCATCTCTTTCTTACCTTTTTGTAATCTGAAGAACCTTTTTTCACCACAAAGAATCTTTTGTGAAACAGAAAGGTTCTTCAGAAGTTAAAGGTTCTTTATGGAACCATTTAGACTAAAAGGTTATTCTGTGGCATCATGAAGCACCTTTATTTTTAAGAGTGTATGTCAATTTGTAATGTGTATCTTTGTTTTTATTTTAAAGATTAAATAATGACAAAGATTTTTATCTTCATCCACTTTGGCCTAAATGTCTCCCATTGTTTCTTATTTTATATTTTGTAAGGCTTTGTTTTTAAAATAGGGAAATTAGTTTGGCTGTGTACTGCTCAGACAACTTGCAAAATAGTAAAACCAAAATCACAAAGAATCTTCTCGACATGACATTAACCACACGAACAAGCTACAGTATTTGAGGGCGGGGTCAAGTTGTTCGCGGCCAGCCAACGTAGAACATAGGTGGACATTATGCAAGCGTGTTACCCCGTGATGTGTAGCCATCACGGAAGTGGTATTTGAATTACTAATGACTCGTTTAGGTTGTTCAGATTCAATTCTTTATTTTGGTAGATGACTTTATTTATCATGCACTTTTGATTTTACAACTTTGCAGATAATTTACATTCAGTATTCGAAATGGCATAATAGAGGCACTTTAAAAATATAATAATAATAACTACAATCCTTTGTGCTAAAAATGTTAACCATCATAACACTTTCTACACCAGACGTGATTGTTGTCGCTTGCGTCACAACAGCTACAGGCCCCACCGGACGTGACAAAGTGACTGTTGCAAATCATTTGTACTGTGTGCCAGTACGTCATAAATAGGATGAGGCATCAGTTTACCGTCGGGGATTTGTCATGTCGCGTCGCAACACACTGTGCTGCATCAAGTGTACACAGCATCACTGATTATAATGAGTTCTATTGTCTTTTGTCATGTTGTGTCGTAAAATGAAATTTAATAAATAGATGTTATTGATCGGTGAACAATTTATTCAAGTTAACCAGCTCTCCCTTTCTAGCTGTTAATATGCACTAAAATTCTGATTTATAATCGAGTCGTCATCTGACAATATCACCATAGACACATACAGTAAGATAAAAACAATGGCTATGCTGTGATTTTAGCTATTTACATGTAAAATGATCACTCAGGTTAGAAGCAATATATAATTCCTATTTTAACTGAAAGTCCTGCTCCTTTCAGCCGCTCGCTTAACTAAGCAGACACAAAGAGAGGTGTGTGTGGTGGAAAAGCAAGACCTCGCGCTCATGCAGCAGTACTGCAAGTCTGTGAAACTAGATAAGGTTCATCCAAGAAGTCACTAGATTTGTCCAGTGGCAACACTGGATTGGTCACCATTTCAGTTTCATTGTGACTTCAAAGTTTAAAAAAGTACTAAAACAAATAAATTAAGTGTGCCCTTATTTGAGTGTTACTCTCATGGTATATTTGCAGCTGTAGTAGTTATGAAAGAAAATGAAACCATTGTAAATTGTTCCCGCTCTTCTTAAACTCAGTGTCACTGGTTGCAAGCTTAACAAAATAAACACTGTGATAACTCAATGGAAATAAATTGGCAAATTGTTATTTAGACTCCACATGGCATTGACCAAAGGCATTTTTTTTTACATGTGATGTCCCAATTTCACAGAGACACGTGTTTCCTCATCTTGAGAATAAAATGAGCCATTTGGGTTGCTATGTAGCCAGACTGTACTAGACTCAAAGCAAATATTGTACTTCTCTCCCCTTTTTTCCTTTTCTTTTAAGAAATCTTCTCAAGAGAAAAAGGCAAAAGCGTACTTAAATTAGCAACTTCTAACATTCCCCTGTGGTTTCCAAATGTGAAGATCCATCCACAATAAAGCAAAGATTTAATCAGACACCAAAAATAAAAAAAAAGCTTTTGTGCTCCAGAAACAAGATGACGTGATGTCTGATGGCGACAGTAGAAATGGTATCTTGAAAGGAAAATCCCCCCTTATGGAAATCATGTCAGAAAGATCCACAAAATGAAATTGTGGGCAGCTTAAACAAACCATATTTCCCTTTGTTCTTCACTCCAAGAGAGAATGACTTAATCCTCTAGTCTCATTGTTCAGCTGTGTCTGGGTGGTTGAGGGAAATTACTTTTTCACAGTGATAGTATAGAGTATGATTTGCCAGAGAATGTTTCAGAACTTATTGCCTCTGAATTTTATGTTCATAATTATGCAGGCTTGTCTCTTTTGTCATGCAATTTCACTTTCAGTTAAGACTGTCTCATCAATAAATACACTATAAATCGTAAGACAACACTGATAAACATGTCCATAAAAAAGAGAGATATACATTTGATCTGGTATGCTGCCAAAACTTAGAAGTGCCTTGAGTTTCAGTTCACTGGGTGGTTAAATGATATGGTCCAATGGCATTAATGCTCCATTGCCATTCTAATCAAATCACTAATGTATTACTGTAGTCAACAAAATCACAGAGACATTCGAAAACAAAAATGCTATTTAACCAGTTCAGAGCTGAAACAATTACCTGTAAAGCTGCTTAAATGGATATCTCACCAAAAAAGATAATAAATTACTCACCTGAATGACTTTCTTTCTTCTGTGGAGATAGTTTTCGAGAAAGGTCCATGCAATTTATGCCCATACAATGGAAACCAAAACTGTTCGGGCATCAACATTCTTTATATCTTCTGTGTTCTGCAGAAAAAAAATAAAATCATACAGGTTTGGAAAATGGTGACAGAATTTTCATTCTTGTGTGAACTATCTCTTTAACAACAACAACAACAACATGGATTGTGAAGTGCTTTACAAACTAAACTGAACAAAATAACCGGCATGATCTGTAGTAAATAGCAGAAAAAGT